AACCCTTGGAGGGCTTCACAGAGTTTTGCTGAGGCACTGGGAGACTGCTGTAGAATGCCAAGGCATCTGGTGGTTTTCTGAGCTGGTTTCCACCGGTTCCCCTGCCCTCACTGAGGCACTGGGGGTCCAGGTGTTGGTGTTTGCCTGCTCCACCATCTGGGTTTCAGGATCTCTTCCTGGTATGCTGAGGTGGGGCTTTTTCCTAGCTTGCTGGGACACCTCCTGCTTTGTATTGCTCCCCCTCTCCCCAGGCAAAGGGGGCCTTTCCTGTTAATCCCTCAAGCTACCTGGGCTACAGGACTGCTGCACCTCGTCTTTCTTCTGGTTCAGCTGTTCCAGGGTTTTTCCTGGGGCAATATTTTCTGGGCTTTCAGAGGTTACTAAGGGGGAGGGTAAGAGTGACCTACTTCTTACTCCAGGGTCACACAGCCAGCAAGTAGCTGAGGCCAGACCTGAACTTAGTCAGATCTTCCTGACTCCAGGACTCCAGGCCTGGCACTCTATCCACTGTGCCACCTAGCTGCCCCAATACTAACCTACACTCAGAGAATTCCCACTATAACATTCATGATGAATAATTGTCTAGCCACTGCTTGAAGAGGAGAATCCCACAATCTCTCAAGGTAGCTTGTATCACTTTAGTTGGGGAGTTTTTCCCTACTTCAAGCCCAGTTTTGGCCCAGAATCCAGGTTCTGCTCTTTTTTTTTTAATTTTTTACTTTTAATTTTTCTTATTTTTAGGCAATTGGGGTTAAGTGACTTGCCCAGGGTCACACAGCTACTAAGTGTCAAGTGTTTGGTCTGAGGCCGCATTTGAACTCAGGTCTTCCTGACTTCAGGGCTGGTGCTCTATCTACTGCGCCACCTAGCTGCCCCCTCAGGTTCTGCTCTTTGGGGCCAAACAGAATAAACCTAACCCATCTTCCACATGACAAATACTTGAAGACAGTTATCATGCCCCCCATCCTCCCAGTATTCTCTAATCAATAAACATTTATTAAGCATCTACTATGTACCAGACACTGCTAAGCTCTCTAACCCAGTTCTCCAGGCTAAACAACCTCAGTTCCTTGGACCATCATGGCTGCATTTCTTTGTATACTCTTAAAACTTTAGTCTTCTCCGCTCCATGTCCAGTGCCTGACCATTGTTTTATGCCTCCATTGTAAGCATCTTGAATAAAGAGATAATCTTTTCACCACACCCTACTCAGGTTTCCTGTGGTACTTAGCACACACCATGAATGTTAAACATGATACTAAGGTGGCAATGAATATTCTGGACAGCCAGGCAGGGGCACAGAAACTTCCCAGGATCTGGGCAGAAACCCTGGTGATTTCTTGGCTGTAGCATCAAGAAAATAATTTTTTCTAAGAAAAAGCTATAAGAAAGAACACAAAGACTTATAAAGATAGGAGAATTCTCTGCCTCTTTTACAAACTGCTTGCCCAGTGTGCCTGGTTTCAAAGAACAGTTTGTAAAGTATCCTGGGACCCACAAATTCCATTCAATTACAGTAACCAAAAGTAATAAGCTTGAGAAGGCCTGATTATACCCACCTGGCAGAAAGGGAATAATCCTCTGCTTTGGGTCCTTCTGACCTCCTTCCATAGGAAATTTGTCCAACATTTGCATCTAAAAGGACAGACACAAGAGTAGAGGGAACAAGAAAGGTCAACTATTAACTAAAGCAGTCTTGAAAACAATCTTGAAAAAAATCTTACCAGTCTCTTCAAAAAAAAAAAGTTTTCTTAGGGCTATTTTTTTTTCCTGTGGAAATGCATGTCTGGAATTGTGGTAGAAGCCAATATGGAAAATATGATTTGATATTTCAGAAAATGGAGATGCTGAGATTCATAGCCTTTAAAGGAGACCCATCACCTGGCTATGGCCTCAGAAAAGCTCTGAGAGTAATGATGATGGCTAAGTCAGTTGTTAAGATCTCTAGCAAAGTGATAGAGATCTGCTATCCCCAATTACTTCCAGTGAGAAGCTTAGCTTCCATTTGGCATTGAAAGGTCTTTATGATCCAGCCCCCAACCTACCCTTTGAACCTTATTCCAGCATTCTATGGTTGTCTTTGCACTGACTCCCATTCCATGCATTCCCTTCAAACCTCAGCCTCTTGGAATCCTGCATTTCTTTCAAGGCTTAGTGCAAGCCCCCATCACCTTTTGTCTATAATAGTGCTTTTCCTGGTCCTTCCAGGTGCTGGTGCCTGCTGCCCTCAAAGATACACTGCACTGCTCTCCATGCATTTTGTATATAACTTTATGTTTATGTGGTCTCCTCTCCTTTTAGGAGGGGACTTTCACTTTTGACTTTGTAGTCCAGTGACTGGGCACATAGGAGACACTCATAAGTGCTTACTGATCAAGTAATACGGCATAATGTTCACCGTACAAGTTTAAAGAAACATATCTAGTGGAAATAGTTAAGCTAAGCCATTCTGGAGCCCACATCAATTTTTAACCCATGCCTATTATATAAGCAAACCAGTCATAGCAAATGTCAGTCTTTGTCAGTCCAGTGGTGTATCCCATAGAATGTAAGCTCCTTAAGAGCAGGCACTATTCATTTTTGTCTTTGGATCTTGAAGGCTTAGCATAATGCCTGGCACGTAGTAGGAGCTTCAATCATTACTGAATGAATTCATTCTTTACTCAAATTTTTAACTCTCGGGCCTGAAGTTCATGTAACACCTCTCTAACGATAGATAGCAAAGGTTCACAAACTAGGTGATCCTGTCTCCTGAGATTAGCAAGATTCTATTTAGGAACAAGTTACAATGATTCAACTTTCTAGAAAAACTTGTGAGCCTGGGGAAATTTCTTCTTGATGAACCATTAAAGACCCAACCTCAGGAATTCAAGTTTAGACTTTGTGTTTATCTTTTTATTTTGCTCACAAGACTGGCAACAAGCCAACATCAGCGATCACCTATGAGCTAATGAATCTCTAATGTGAAGCAAAAGTATGTGATTGTAAGATAACTCTGTTGCACTGCCTATTTCTTACCGTCGGAAGAGTATTAGGCCAATTTCTCAGAATTCAGAAGGAGTTTGGAGAGACTCGGAGTCAAAATTGTTTCCCAAATTTTTCACCATTTTACCTTGAAACCAGAACCAAGGGACCTTTATGGATATCTGGTTCAACCCATACCCAAAGAAAATCCCCACTACAAAACTCCAGAGAAGTGGTCATTCAGCCTCCTCTAGGGGAATTCCAATTAGGAGGAATCCACTACCTTTAAGAGGCAGGAATAATTCTAATTGTTAGGGAGTTTTTCCTTATATCAAGTAAAATTTACATCTTTACAATTTGCATTTACTACTTCTCGTTCTGATACTTAGGACAACTTCCTGTGACTCACTCTAACAAAACTCCTCTCCTCTGTATGTTGCATTTCCCTAATAGAATATAAGCTTTAAAAAAATAACGTAAGCTCTTGGAGGGCAGGAATTGTCTCACTTTTGTATTTTTTCCTCTAGATCCTAATACAATGCCTGGTATACAGTAGGTGATTAATGAATGTTCATTTATTCATTAATTCAAGACACAGAACTCTTTCTCTGCCTCTCCCAAATAAGATTTTATGAGAAAAGTGAAGAGATTTTGAATAGTCTGAACCAGAGTCATAATTAGAACCAGGCAACTGAGGTGTATTTTCCCCACATTGCCATCTTTAAGATGGTAACAAATTAAAAGATACTAACATCATCTATAGCCCTTCAGTTGTACAGAAACAACAAGTGCATAGCATTGTTTACAGTGGCCTTGCTGATGTCCTTGGTACCTTGCCCCACTCCTCAAATGAGGGCATACCCCTTGTCCCAGGTGTGGTCTGTGTTACTTGTGTGAGCTTAACATTTCCCAATTATGGTTCTGTTCTAAACTTTATAAATATAGCTATTTTCCAAATCATATAGGTGAGAAAGAATTACCCAAAGCTAACATAAGAAATAAATATTTGGGCTCCTCATAACCAGAAAGAACACAGATTTTAAATCTGGCCTGAGTTCAGATTTCAGTTCTACCACTTACTACCTGTGCAGTCTTGGACAAATCACTTCTCTCTGGGGCTCTATTTCTTCACCTGGTTCCCATGTTTTCCACAAAAATCTGCTCAAGTGACACCTTCTACATGAAATCCTTCCAAATATCCTCACCTGCTAACACTACCTCCACAAAAAAATTCACCTTGTATTTATTTTGTATACATCTTGTTGGTAGGAATATTTATGATCATCTAAATTTATATGCAGCATGCATGGGGTGGTCACATATATCATTACACTATCTTCTATCCCAAACCCACCTTTCTGAACTTGCAAATTTCTGTGAAGGTTATTGCCATATTTCTAGTCACCCAAGTTTTCAACCTTATTATATCTAACTCCTCATTTTCACTCAACCCACATATCCTGGCAGTTGTCAAATCTTGTAATTTTTTTTTAATCTTTGCAGCTTCTTCTGCATCTATCTCCCTGTCTCTCTTCACACAACAACCATGCCATTGCAGGTCCTCATCACCTCTCAAATGGATTATTGCAATGGCCTCTTCAATGGTCTCCCTGCTTCAAGTTTTTACCTACCAAAGTTATTTTCCTAAAGCAAATGTCTGACCACCCCTTCCCACCCCTCCCCCATTAAACTCCGGGGATGGAGGAACAATCAGTCCAAAGGCCCAAAGACAGAAAATGGAATATCACATATAAGAAATAGTAAGTAGTCCATTTGGCCTACTTCTGGCCTGCACTTGAAATAGGGAGTGCAAAAAGGGGAGTTATGTGCAATAACCTGGAAAGTATGCTGGAGCCAGGTTGTGAAGGGCTCTCACTCTCTGGCCACTCACTCTGGCCACTACTCTCTCTTGAACAGTCACCACAAACATGTTAATCACATCAAATGACCTGTCAACAAGACATAATATCCGTAATATTGATGTGCTGATGAAGATATGTGTCCCAGTGGTGTTTCCACATCTGAGTCCGGTCTACGTACGAGTTTCCTGGTGAATCATACTCACAGTCATCGTCAGTTTGAACTGTGTTATACAGAGGCCATTCTTACTGGCATGTGGCAATTAGATTTGTCAAAGACGGAAATTCTCAGTTTTCTAAACTGGGAAACAGAGACATTACTGACACTGAAAATTAAACGGTGACATCATTCATACTCTGGTGTTCTGACCAATGGCTCTCAGGTTCATATGGAATCATTTTAACATATCAAATGACCATAGTAAAATTCATTGAGATACCCTTCAATAGTTTATTTGCATGTGAATTCAATGCTCTACATTTTCTTAAAGTTCCTTGATTAATCTCTCGGCTATAAGCCATGGTGATTTATTAAGTTTTTAAAATAATATCATATCTTCAATCTCCCATATTCTCTTTACTGACAGTGATCCCACAAAGCTCAGAAAGTTGTCCTTTCATCATTTTTCCTCTGAGTCGAAGTGAGTGGTGACTCAAGGGCCTGGTAACATCTCTACCAGTTTATACAGGACACATATGCTTGTGACTGAATACGCAGTTGCTCATATCGACCTCCGTCATCTGGCTGGTTGTTTTCAGTAGTTTATAAAGCTATGCTTTAGGGGTGGCCAAGCGCCTCAAGCTATCCATGTCCAGCCAGTCGCCGAAGATGTGGTTTGCCTCCTGATGTTCTCACTTTAAGAACTCTCTGATGCTACTGAGATTTGTTCTTCACATCACTAACATAATCATCTGTAACAATATTGTCCATGAGGGTTTAGTGAAAGAAGTCAAGAGATCATAGGCCACAGGTTTCAGTGGTAAGTGGTACCAGGTTCTTGGACCACGAGATGCTTCAACTTAAAGAATATTTATCCTTTTTGCAGTCACACAAGACATGGGACATTGAGGGAATTCCATGCTGGCTAAGACTCACACCCAGATGCCTTATGTCTGGAAGTGCAAGGCCAGAGGCCCCTAAAGTCTAACCACAGAAATTACCCCTGGAAACCAGAAAAATTCCCCAATTTCCCCCAAATAATAAAAGGAAGTGGTCGTGGTAGGGAGAGGACTGGTTATAGAGGAGGTAAGTGAGTCAGCCTGGGAGAGGAAGATGGGAGTCAGGGCTGGAGAGGGTGTCACGTAAAAGCTGCCACATCACAAGGCTTAAAAAGGAACAAAAGAATACCAGTTCAGCAGTTTACAAGACATAAGCTCGCAGATGAAGGAAAAGTGAAACACTTTGTCCAAAGAAAACAATGTTGAAAGCTGGCTCTTACTCCTGCAGGTGGTTTGTGTTAGTGGCAGATCTGAGAAGCGAGCTACGAGCAGTTCTCAGGCTGAAGTTCTCTAGTTCTCTTTCTTTAACATCACAATCCAAATGTTCTGAGCCCAAAGCCCAGGAAGAAGATTCAGAAACTGAGGCAGGGATGGGGAGGGGAGCCTAGGGAAAGCGCCGCCACACAGCTGCAGCTCCAGTGAACTTGCCTATCCTCTCTGTTCATATTTACACACACACTGAGTCCCCCCTGAATGTTTCAACCTCCTAAAAGTGAATTTGAAATAGGCGATTTTTTTTTCTTCCCTTAACTTCTCTCCTCAGGAGTTATTTACTGATATATCAAGGACTCAAAACTGTTGCTGAGGTCAGAA